GGTCATACATTAGCATACTTAAAAACCACATGGCTCACAGAAAGGCCAAATATTCTTTAGTTTGGCAGAGGTTTTCCAGACCTTACGGATATGTCTGTTCAGTTCATTCCTCGTTTTCTTTTCATTACGAGAGACACTAGCCGCAGAAGCGAGGGAAAGATTTGGAGACGAGAGTGTGTTACCTATGAGGGAGACGCAGGCACCAACGTATTCGCCACGGAGGGCGTACATTATGTTTGAGGTATGGTGGGATCAATCTGCGGGCTCACACTTGGAATAGTGGCGTCACTTTCTACTGCTGCACTTACGTCATTCTAGGCAAAAAGCACACTTGGAAGGCAAATTAATTATTGAAATTGAAATTAAAATTATGACGAAGAATCATGATAGCGCTTATGTGAATTTAGCAGATCCACTCTGCTCCTCCTTATTTTTTGAATATGGTATAGAAAACCTCTGAGAATTTTTTCATGAACACAGGCTATAAGGCGGTGGGTACAATAATCTGGTGTTTGAGGATGCCTACTGTAAAGGGAAGCTTGGCGCTGAACAGATGGTGTGTGGCGCGTTTTGCATGTGTGCGCTCGAAAGTACTCACTGGCACATTCCACAAATGGACGTCCTTATTGGTATGACTCACTAGTAAGGAGAGAAAGCGAAAAAGTAAGAATTCTTGAAATCATGTATCGCTGATCGAGCGGGCGTGGTTTGCGCTCCGCCCTGCGCAATCTCATTGGCTGGCCGTTTCTGTGAAATGATAAAATACGGTGTAATACGATGAAGCTAATGGGGCTAACCAGTGAGAGTTTTGTTGGGCGAAGCACCAACATTTCCCGTATATTCGGCGGGCGATGTTATTTTAATGGTCTCTGGCAGTTTTTTTTTCATTCTTTTTCATACTGACGAAGCGATCAACACAAATGCTTTCATTCTAGGAAGCAATAAACTACACCTATTCAACCGTGAAATGAGTATGCCTTCAAGGATTCATGCGTTTTGGACTGGGGGACTCGTTCCAAAGGAATAAATTCAAAGTAAAACACTGTTTTGTTGGGAATTCAGCGGAAGCAAAGTTTGTGTAAGTAGCGAAGGTGAAGTAGTATCAAGGTTCTCGCTAACACGAATATGGTGCGGCGTTCAATTCAGTCTAGCCTCGTCCAGTCTAATCCGCCCTTTTGTCCTTTTATACAAAGTCATCTGCGGCGATAAAAAGCAATGCATGGTTATCGCATCCCGAAAGTCGTTGTGAAGGTTGAATTCACATTCAGATGTCACTACAATTCTAGTCTAACTAGAGTTCATGACGCATCCCGAAGGATCAGGAAGGGCTAAATATGAAGATTAAGAAGGACCGAGCGTTTGGTTGGCGTCAAATGTCTTGTCCTTTTGATCCTTCACATTCAAAGGCAGAATTTACGATGGAAAGTTAGCTCATTGGAAGTAGGGGTAGAGGTGGTCAGTGGAACAGGGATGAAGGAGAAGCCATTCAAAAATCGGTTCGAATCCGAGAAATCTGGATATCTAATCACTGATCACGTACCAGTGCGTACCAAAAGTATGTGGACACCCTGGAATCGATTTCTCAGGGGTCAGCTAAAGGCTTTTATGTCATGAAACCTTCACCATTCAACTCCTAGTGGTCGATAACCTACAATGATATTTCGGCAAAAGATTTCGTTCTAACTTAGCGAACTATTTTTCATGGAAAGTTTTTTCTTTGTATCAAAATTATGTGGACACTTTTTGAAAAACGGCAATATCTTCAGAAATCTGAAATCGGTAGGCCTACCAAAGTTTCTAGTAAGTTGAGCCATTCTGTTTGGCATGCTATGAATGGGGTCTGGATACATGTCTTGCAGATCTGTTCCCAACTAGCAAATTTCACCGACGTGTTAGGTCACTTGTGATATTACTCTTTTGTTCAATGAACGTCAGACCGCGACATACGACCTCTGTCTCGGTGGTTCGTGGTGGAAGACAGCTGAGTGCCAATGTTTATTCCGGGGCGACCTTTCGAGGTGGTCGCTGAAGACAGAACTAACCCTACTCTCTCATATCATCTACTCTGGGTATCTTCATTGATGATAAGTCTGTTGATGTTGATCATTCATTCTGTAACTTGTTTTGACCAGCAATCATTGTAGCTGTAAGCTGCAATACTGCCCCGGCATGTAAGAAGTGGCACTCGACTCTGAACACAACTCAAATCATGAACAAACTGAACACTTTTATACAATAAACATGAACAACCAAAAGTCACTATGCGTAGCGGAAGAGTTCCATGCGTATCACTGAATCTCGTCCAACTGGCGATATAATTCTTTGATGCGTTCCTTGGCGTTTTTCCTCCTTTCAATTGCCTCCTTTATTCGTCTTCGTATGTACTCACTTTTTTCCGGTAATTCACATAAAGCCGAGTGATGACCATATTCGTTGCAGTGAAAGCATCTCAACCCTTTTTTCTTACAATTATGGCCCATCAGACAAAATTTGCAGCGTCCTTCTGCTTCAACGATTTTCAGGCGCTCTTTCGAGCTTGGGTAGGCTTCACACGAGTCTGAATAATGTTCACCTACTTTCCCGCAGAAGGTACACACCATGCCTCTTTCATCCTCTCTTTGGATGATCCCCTTTCTGTAGTCTCTTGGGTTACATGTCGGTTCCATGTCTAGTTCGTAAACGATGTTTTCCATCTTTCGTAATAGTTAGCATCGGTTCAGTGTAAGAGCCATGCTCCGACGCGCCACGCGGGCGGCCCGCGGTTCGATTCCGCCGCCGATGCACATGTGGTCTCGTGTGGTTCGTGGTGGAAGACAGCTGAGTGCCAATGTTTATTCCGGGGGCGACCTTTCGAGGTGGTCGCTGAAGACAGAACTAACCCTACTCTCTCATATCATCTACTCTGGGTATCTTCATTGATGATAAGTCTGTTGATGTTGATCATTCATTCTGTAACTTGTTTTGACCAGCAATCATTGTAGCTGTAAGCTGCAATACCTCCTACGTTTTCATAAGGATAAGTCTGAAGGAATTCGCTAGCCGACTTGCCAATTTAGCATTTCCAAGTGGAATGGTGTCAGGGACCTCCCCTGCAAAACAAGTGATTTGCAACCATGACTTTTCGAAAAAGGTTGTAGCCGGGACTCAAGCACCTCATTATAATCCTAGTCGTCTACCTGACATGTTGGCAAGCCAAACTTCAATGTCCCCTCCTTTTGGAACCACCCCAGACCTTTGATGAACATCTTCCGAATTGTCTCTTCGAGCACATCTGCGGGTCCGACCAAAGTCTCTCCAAAAACCTCAAGACCCACCCGAATAGTGAAGGAATAAGCTTCTTTCTGCCAGTCGAGTTGGTCTATGAGAGAAATTTCCACAGAAAGTCTTTTATACTAATTTTACCATTTCCACGAAAGCACTGTCTGTGTGGGTTCAAAGTATCATGTTGTGATCCTTTTTTGAGTGGGAATTCCAACCTTGCCAACCTGAACCCGCATTCATATACAAAGCCTTCTTCATCTTCTTTCGTGTCGTGTGCTCAATTGATTGAATGAGACACCGATTGGTCTTTTTTAAGATCGGGAAGATCATTTATGCGTAAAGTTGAGTAGTACGAAAAGAAAAATTTGAGAAAATTAAGGCTATTCTTTCCTGTTTTGAACAAGTAGCGATTGAGAACAACCCTCAGTCAAGGTCGAGAGCTTAGCATCAGGATTTCGGATTTCTCTCCAAACCTACGAGGACGCATGACTGGTTGACGTGCTATTTCGCAATAGGAAGGTTCAGAAGCATGGGGATCCCATTTCTGTGCTCGGTCTTCTTCAGAAAAACGCTTGCCGTGAAGAGGAATGATGCCAGAATAAGTAACGAAAGGAGAAGTAAAAATAGGTTAGGAAATCGATGCAAAAACTTCATCTGCCTCAGGGTGTCCACATTTTGATACGCACTGTATAGACCTGGGGCAAGTGATTGGATTGTTGGGGCCGTACCCCGCCAACACCGCGCCAAAAGAGTGACGCTATGCTAGGTAGCACGAGGCAACCTCTTTCGCTACCCAAGGCGCCGCGTCGGTCAGCACCCCAGGAGGTCCGCGTGTTTTTCAAATATGCAATTTTTTCCCCATCTTTGACCTTCTATATTATCGTGAATTCCTCCTTTAGGTTGTGCAACAGGTGAGAGGCGTAAGTAGCGCTACTATTTATTGCAATCATGCCTCGATAAACATGGATCGTTTTTGCTCCTAAATCGAGTGAGGTTTTTTCGCGCATCCTTAGCTGGCTTTCCTCGTTAAATAACCAACGAGTGGTGGAGATTTAGAAACTCGTAATTAATCGCATCCCTATATGACCCACGACGTCAACCGTATTGCCCTAATAGATCGTAAAATGGTGCTATAATTTTGTATCAAAAAGCATAGATAGATGGCGCTTCTCAACAAAACAAGTGTCCTATATTAAACTTCGCCTTGGCTAAAACGAAGCCTTCTCATTAATAATATCCTCATGACTGACATAGATTTGATCCAAGCTTTTTTGCGTTTATAATATTGAACTCGTTGTCCAATTGTCAAGCTGAGCAGGAGGGTCCATATTGCCGTAATCGACAGTGTTGGATTCGTTAGCGTTGGCCGATTGAACGCTGTTTTGTTTTGTGCTGTTTGTCTAAGCGCAAGCTGTGAAAACGCTGGTCTGCTCGAATGTGCTGAGTGCAAGCATGTAATCGTAGGATTGAAGGTGTATGGTAAACTGATTTCTATGTAATCGATTTTTGAAAGCGAAACACAAGGCAAATCAAGTAGATTTATGGCACAACAAGTGACATAGACACCTACACACAAACACATTCTGATCCGTATTTGTACACACATTGACCCAAAGCGAAAGTCACCCCTCCTCGGATTGTAGCTATCAGCGTCGTCGACAACACTGCGTACCTCTGTTGCAAGGGGCATATCCGGCCTTACATTGGCAGGATTGTTGCGGTTGTAGTCCAGTGACCGGCTCACAAGCAACGACGATAGGCTGTGAAGGAGCGGATGGTGAGCAGGTCTGTGTACAACTTTGCTGACAAGCCGGCTGACAGGTGGTCACTGGTTGGCTTTGTTGAACACATTGTGCAGAACACGTGGATTCGCACTGCGTTTGGCATTGAGCTGATTGAGCGATGCTTGGTTGAAGAACGACCCGGACCACTGGCGCTTCTTGAGATGCACAGGAGCTTTGACACTGTTGACATTGTACAGAACCTTGTGCTGGGGCACATTCGACTTGGCATTGCTGCATACATGCAGGCTGTGCCGCAATGCACGTGCTGTCACAGGCTGGCATACAAGATGGCGCGCACTGAATTGGTACTGGAACTGGAGCAGCAACAGGAACAGGAGCAAGAGGTGGAGACGGACCCTGGACGTTCACAGCTATGCAGAATTCAGCGCATTGAGCTTGACACTGGTCCAGGCATGGCGCGACCGACTGCTGGTTGGTGCAAGCTGACTGACATTGTGTTTGACATTGAGGCATGCAGGTGACATCCTGTCGAGATACTGGTACATTGACACGAATGGGCTGTTGTACCGGTAACTGCTGTACTTGGAATTGTTGCTGCTGGATGCATGATGGCTGACAAGCTGGTTGACATGGAGTAGCACACTGCACAGCTGCCTGCTGCTGCTGCATACAAGACGGCTGACAAGAGGGCTGGCATTCAGGAGTGCACTGGACAGCAACTTGCTGCTGAATGCAGGATGGCTGGCAGGCTGGTTGGCATGAAGGGGCACATTGATCGTAGGTAATTGGTGGCAGGTTATTCACAAATGGCCCTGGACCAGGAAAAGGAATATTAATGGGAATAGGGGCAGGAGCAAGGCCAGGAGCTTGGATCGGCACAGCACAGGCATTGTTGCACTGAATCTGACATTGATTACCACAAGCTGCGGGAGGCATCTGCTGAAGGGCGCAGGTTTGCTGGCACTGCTGCTGGCATGCAGGTTGACATTGAATATTTGGCTGACCGAGAGGTACGCTGAGCAGCACATTCATGACGGGCTCACTGCAGAAGCTAGAGCATTGTGAGCGACATTCGTTGTTGCAGTAGGCAGCTGGTTGCTGCTGAGCAATGCAGGATTGATGACACACTTGTTCACACGACGGTTGGCATTGGCTAACGATAGGAATTGCTTGTGGCTGAGTCTGACAGCTACCCTGACAACTGATCTGGCAGTTCTGCTGGCAAGTATTCAGCGTTGAGCCGCTGCACTGTTGACCGCAACTTTGTTGACATGCAGGTTGGCACTGTACACTGGCAATTTGAATTGGCTCTACGCCACCTCCTGGTTGACATCCGCAATTTTGTTGTATCGGTTGACTTTGACAGGAGCATTGCATTTGTTGAGGTTGTAATGGTATGCAGAAGCAGTGAGCTTGAGTCTGTGAACAGTCGCATTGCCGTCGTGCTCGAATGATTTTGGCCTGAAAAAAGTTGAGTTCATTAACACATTGGAGACTGTCGCCCGATGCCGAGCGACACTACGAAATCCAATTTTTTTGCGCAGACCAAAATTTCTGGCAGTAATATATTAACCAGGAATACATTGTACTATCCGCGGTGGTTATGGCGCTTCTGCAGTGTTTTACTCAAAGGGTGATTTCCAACTTTTTTAAACGGAAATAATTGAAGTGTTCTAAGAAAATTAGTAAATCAAGGCTATCGAATGTTAACAATTTTGAACCCTTTAGCACATCGCTTGATTAGGGTGTTTAAATAGTAATGGGGAACATTTTTGGAAGCAGCGAGAAATTGTATGCTTGGTCGTTTAGCCTATTCACCCTCTGGCACAATCGCTGACTAGGGTGTTTGAATAGTAATTGGGAACATTTTTGGAAACAATGAGAAGTTGTATGCTTGGCAGTCTTCTAACAGTTGCATCCAGGAAGGTTGCTTAGCCTATTCTGAGAAAACTTGCGCAACGCCGTCCTCTTGTGGACTTCTAGCTTCTCTTAGAAGACTGCAAGCATACAAGACGCGCGTGCCTTTAGCTCTCTCGTCTGTGCTCCATATTAAATCTGGCCACCAAGTCCTTGCACGCTATGTCTGAAAGGTGTTATAAAACATGTTCACAAGTTAAACCTTAGATGCTATCAATTTTAGAAAAAGGAAGTTGGATCATTAATTTGAATAGGCATGGACCACGACCCGTGACGTTAGAAACCTGGGGGTCTTGACAATTTAACGGTATAGAAATAGAATAGCAAATGAAAAACATCCCACATCCCACAAACATCGTACTTGGCATTCTCAAAAAGTTTTAGTCAAGCATTATGATTTGAGGAGGCATTTTGGCACTTATTCCTCCCCTCCCCCCCACACCATGGGGGAATAATGTTGAATCGAAGTCTAAGCGGGTTTTTTCCGTGCTTTATGAGGCTACCGAATTCTAAAAAAGTGGCGAGGAATTTCCCCATGCGATCCCTTTTCATCAATCATCATCATTGTCTACCTCTCTCACTTCTATTTTCCCACATATGCCGTCTACCGAGCGATTGAGTTGGAGGGGGGAGAGGGATATAGAAGGGTGAGCGTGCGAGGTATGTAGGACGATAAAAACAGTGAAATCTCGAAGGAAACCTCTTGAATTTTGTATTAGCTCAACCTTTCTCAAATAACCTTCAGACGCTGGGACTCCGAACACGCTCTTTCTGCATCCTTTCTCAAACCAGCAAATACGATATTTATTTCCTCGGTGAACGCTCAGTTTTGCATTGCAAGCATCAATTCAGCCAATTTTGATGAGTAACGTGAGTGGCAGAGTTAGCGGAGTTACATAATAAAATCATTTATAGCTGGATTTACAGGAAGGAAACTCAATAAAAAGTATTAGTAGAAGAAAATTGCTCACCGAAGTAGCCAGGAATAGAGAGACCAGCACCAGCGTGCCCAGGAAGTTCATCTTGATGATGATTTTCAACGAGAAGCCGAACGCCAATTAGCCGTTGGCGAACAACGTGTATATATAGCGTCCAGCAACAGAGTGGGCGTGACGCCTGATACCCGGGACTGGTATTATTGCGAGGTTAGCGCTTCCCAGCACTCTTGAGCAGTAAAAATCGCTTGTCAAGCGAACATCTTCCGCAATCTTGACTTGAATACGCTCTCCTGAGCTGCATGTTAGATACGATCAGCCAGGGGCAGTGCAGTTTTTGATGGCTCAATATCCCAGTGTTGTGGGAACATAATGGGATGCATTGGGGTTTTTTTGGATCGCTAAATCAATTCAGCTGGCTGTGACGGTGTGGCATGTGGCCAATCACCTGCATCGGGCTCTTACACTAACCCTACCCTTACGGAATATTAGGTTGAGCAAAAATTATCCGCCGTTTTCGTTCCACTCATAAGTTTATTAACAAAACCAAACAAAAACAACAATAAATGAGTAATCAACAAACGCTCTCGAACAGTCTTCTCTGCATCCCAGGCTTCATTGATTCTACGAGCAGATGCAGAAGCATTTTTCGAGCTCAACTTGCACTCATGTAGCATGAGCAATCTTTTTTTTGCTCGCGTGTAAGCTCCAGAGTGAAGCAAATACACAAGTGTTGTACATCAAAATGTACAAGAGATTGCGCGCTTTCAGACTACATCATAACCTTTGAAAATAATCGGCAAAAAAAAAAAAACCATGAGCCTGGAAAAATGGCGTGTAGTTTTTGCTCAACCTAACAATTTTCATTGATGGTCATATTGTCAGCAAAAGTGCTGCTGAAGATGCGTGAAGTCCAGAAAGGATCTACAGAAAGTGTAATATGCTAACTAAGTGCCCTTGATGCACACCCATGTGGGGCAGGTCAGAAAGTAAGTTGCGTCATGCAGGTGCCCTTTCTTTTACTCACAGTCCGAATGACTTAATAGCCATTACTATGAATAGCATGGAAAGACGTGCTCAAAAGTAATGATCACAATGGTTACAGGGCGGTTCTGTTGATGACGTTACGAAAGGTCTGGTGGAACGGCTTAATTGGCAGTCCCAACCACACTCCCAGTCGATAAGGGCTTTAGCTCACCAATGACATTCGATGACGTCACCGAAACCGCACCACCCCCAGCCATCATGATCACTGCCTTTGAGTTTCTGGTACAGAAATCATCAAGACTCGGCGCGTTCTAATCCTTTTTTAGCAACCACGCTTTGGGTTCCGCTCGTAGTCGTGAACAACATTGATGCGTAATTGTCCGCGTATTAACTAGCTAGCCAATTTTGTCCTCCCAAGCAAGATTCATTCAGTAGAACAATGTGAAAGAAAGTAACGAGTATAACTAAAGGATTATAAAAAGAAAATTAGTGGTTCGTTCCGAGCCC